AAGGAATGAGAGGAGAAAGGGGGGGTGGGAGGCAGGGCCCGGCGCCGGGTGATGATGGGGCCCAGAGATGCGTCCAGAGAGAGGGGCGGGGCTGGGACGCAGGCTTGGGAAGGGCCACAACTAGGGAAGACTGAGGGCTGCTGGAGGCCAAGAAGAATAGGGCGGAGAGGGCACTGAGGGCTAGGCTGGGCTCCTGAGCCTAGAGGCTGCCCAGAGAAGCTGGCTGGGCCTCAGGAAACCTTGGAGAAAATTCAACATTTGCAGGAGGTTTCTGATGTTCCATGCATGCACTTGTTGAACTTTCACAGCCCTGGAGTGGGTGCCTGGAAAAGAGGAGCAGTTCTCATGCCGGTGGGAACTGCCTGCCAGGTGCCTTGCCCTGAGAGACTGGCAGACATGACATGGACACCAAACATTTCACTTCCTCTTTTCTTCGAGATCTTTAACCCAGTGGTCCCTTTGTGGGCTGGGACTTTAGCCAGGCATCAGGGAGCCAAGGCTTGGATCACAAGCAATTTCTGCAGGTAACTTTTATCTTTCTTCTTTTTTTTGTAATTGGATTGGTTTTCTTTTTAATTCTTTTTACCCAACACATGAGCTCTCATTATGAAAAAGTCAAACAATATAGAGTTATAGAGACAAAAATACAAGTCCCCAATCTCCCTCTCTCTGACCCTCCCACAATTCCTCCTCCTTCCTGGAGGTTGTCAAATGTTGATCAAAGTTGACGTTTATCCTTTCAGATTACATACATATATATATGCACATATATGCATGTCTCATTTATATATGGCAATACATTTACGCAGGGCAGTTCACAGAGTATGAAGCCATCTGACTACAGCTGATCCACAGGAGGGCAGTCTCAGGCATTCTGACTGGCCCACCAGCTCTTGCAGCTGGCACTTCCTTCAGCTCCATTTGGGAGGATCTCCAACCAAAGGCCAGAAAGAGGTAACCCAATTCTCCTTTTCTGCTGGTTCCTTTTGCTTCTACCTTCAGTCCAAGCCTTGGTATTCCCATCTGCCTCTACAGTCATTGGACAAGCAAGGTCTTTTCTGTAACAATAATACTAACAACTAACACATTTTGAAGACTTACTAGGAACTAAGTGCTTTCTTTACACAAATGATATTTTATCCTCAGACCAATCCTTGTTTTTTATCCTCATTCAATGAATGAGGAAAGTGAGGCTTGGAGAGGTTAATTTGCTCAAAGCCACATACTAAGAAGCTGGGACTCAATCTAATTCTGACTTGAAAGCAAGCTTTGTCTTAACACTATTTGCTTCAGGTCATCAATGTTGTTATGCCATTTACAGGTCCAAACTGACTCCATACCACTTACAAGCCAAAACTCAATTCTCCCCTATATTCTGAATGCTCAGCCTATTCTACTCCTTGATGATTGTATCCTTTCAACCACCCTCGTTTCTTCTTTGCTCTTGGGCTAATCATTCTGGCTGCCACAAGCAAGGTTGCCTCCTTCTTTTGAGAACAACCTAGTCTAGTCCTTCATTTGTATCCCTGATTTCTTCTAAGACATTTACTTGAAATAAAACACTTTTAAGTCTTAAGGTCCAAATATATTTGTCTGCCCACTCATTTATTTATAAGCTCTGTGAGAGCAGGAACCGAATTTTATTCATTCTTTATATCGTCAAGGCCTAATAGATCCTTAGTAAATGTTGATTGACTGAATCACTCAATGCCTCTGGCTAGTTATTAAGCAGGCCCAGTCAGATGTTTGAAGATAACTGCAGTGGCTGTTTAAGAAAGGCTGATTTGGGATAAAAGTTCAATGTCAGTTTGAGTAGCCAGGACAACAGAGCTCCTGGACCAACACAAATTATATCAGGTCCAAAGCTGTGTACTTCAAGTATCTTCTCAGACTAACTCCACAGAGCCAAGGAATGGCAGCTCAAACTGTAGACAAGGCAACAGAGCATCTACCATAAAAATCTCAGGCCCCATAGGCCAACCTTGAACTTACTTATTCCATTAATGATATATTTTACCAGAGCAAGGAAGACAGTTTTAAACTGTGTGACTGTAAAACAAATTGGCATAATATTATTTTACACCCTAAGATATGAAAAGAATATGTCCATGGACTATATACATATATATTAAATAAGAAACTAAAATTCAGTATCACTTTAAAAATCAGTCCTGGCCAAAAAGCATTGTTATGGTTAATATCGGAGTTAAAATGCAGACAGGAATGAATTATACAATAAGATAATATATGTCTCACTGTTTATTTCCACCTTAGTCATTTGTTAAATTCTTCTATTTTAAATATAGAGACTCCATTTCTATTCTAAGATTCCTCATTTCAGTACACTGAAGATGTTAACTTTAACCATTAAATGTTTAATCTTATATAACCAAGTAGTAAAGAGAGTGGACGCTAGAGCTGGACTGCTGAGGTTCCAATCCCAGCTCCCCAGTTATTA